TGCATCTTCTCCCCACCCCACATTTCCAGCTGGTTCAGGCCTTTACCCACGCTCCTGCGATGTTAGAAGCAGACAAAGGTGGGAAGTTTCACATGGTAGATGGCAACGTCTCTGGGGAATTTACCGATCTGGTGAGTACTTGGGGGCTCCAGTCTAAGATTATAGCCTCTGTCTGGTCAGATGTGTGACTTCTGTCCTTTTTTCGGCTCAGTGGCTAAAATTTAAGACTTAATTCCATTGGTCAATAAAACCATTTTGTTTTGGGGCCGGGAGATTTAGATCAGTGGCACCTCGCCTGCCTGGCAAGTGCAAGGTCCTGAGTTCGATCCCCGGTACAAAACAAAACAAAAAAAACTCAAAAAGTTTCATTTTTCAAAAGAATGCTGCAATTTGAATTGTCCCTATTTTTTTTTTTTTTTGGTACCGGGGATTGAACTCAGGTCCTTGTGCTTGCACAGCAGGCGGCGAAACCACTGAACTAAATCCCAGGCCCCAATTTGAATTGTCTTGCAAGTAATACAGTCTCACAGATGATAGACCATACAAAGGCAGATGACCAACACTAGCTAGGATTGGGTGTGTTACAGTCTACTGTAGATTGAGCTCTTTGATTATTTTAGGTCCCAGAGAAACATATTGTGATGAAGTGGAGGTTTAAATCTTGGCCAGAGGGTAAGTAAGCATGTTTGTTTATTATCATTGTTCCCAGAATGTCTTTTCTGCCTAGTTGTAAACCTACATGGAAACCCTGTAAACCTACATGGAAACCCTGGATCTGAACCACCATCCCTTCCACCTTCTCCGAACAGGGCACTTCGCCACCATCACATTGACCTTCATTGACAAGAATGGAGAGACTGAGCTGTGCATGGAAGGCCGAGGCATCCCTGCAACTGAGGAAGAGCGGACGCGGCAGGGCTGGCAGCGGTACTACTTTGAGGGCATCAAACAGACTTTTGGCTATGGCGCACGCTTGTTTTAGGGCTGGCAGCGGGGGGCTCCAGCCTACAACACTTCTGACTGGGGCTAGTGACTCAAAGGATTGCACCATCCCAACTGCTAACTTGGGGCCGGGGCCCCTCCCTCCACATATACCTTGGGTTTGTGCATGTTTTCTGCTGGGTGGGATCAGAGGGTGATTTCTCTTTTCTGTGTACATATGCTAAATAAACATAATTTTAAAAACATACACATCTGGAAGCTGTGTTCATTGGGTGGCTGGTACTGAATTCCCCTGAAGGTTTTGAATTTTAAAGAGGGGCAGGTGCTTGAAGGCCTAGGCTCTATTCTGGGTGATAGTAGGTAATTAAGAGGCACAGAGGAAACCTGCTTCTCACTACTGGGCATCCTTGAGGTATTCCAACTTGATCCTGCAAACTGGCAAAAAGCTGCCCTTTTACCACCACAACTAAGGGATCCACTGTTGTGAAGGTGGTGCCCTGGGCTCTCCACTCTCCATGTCCTCTTGGCTCCTTGCAAAGAGTTGACCACCAGGAGCTGGTTTGAGATGTAGAAAAAGGGACACTGCCGTCCTGTGGCAGCTTCTACTGGAGCACTTGTATACCACACATGAAACAGTTTCCTCCCATCAGCTCATTTAATCCCCGTAAAGCCCAGTGAAATAGGTACTATCATTTATTTCACGAAAACTTAAACCTTGGGTTTCCCTATACACATCCTGTAGGTAAGCCTCATAAATAGCACAGATCCAACAGCTGACATTGAGCAGGATTGGGATTGGAATAGACCATTACTGCAGAGCCCAGACTCAAATCTAAACGCTGCTGCTGCCATATTGGTTCAAACCTGCAAAGACACTGCATTTTTAGTATATTAAGTAACCTTCCTGGATAGGAGATTCCAGATCTTAGTACTCCCCAAGACCCCCAAAAGGAAGCAACAGCATGGTAGGTGGCACAGTGCTGTAGTCCTAGCTACTCAAGCATGAGGCAGGAGGATCCCTAGTGGGAGGTCACCCTGAGCAACTTAGCAAGAATCTGTCTCAAAATTTAAAAATTTTGTAAAAGAGGTGGGACGTGGCTCAGTGATTGAGCCCTTGCTCAGTATGCACAAGGTCCTGAGTTCAAATCCCCAGTACCAGGGAAAAAGCAAACGTCCCTAAAGTAGTTCTAAATTCCTAGTACCATTAAACAATTTACTGAGCACTGGCTCTGTGCCACTTCTGGGGTTAGACATGTTCTAGTGGAGTTCAGGCTACCACAGGGCAGGAAGAAGAAGCCTGACAGGGACAGTCACTTTCCCAGTCAAGCCTGCTCTGGCTTGCACACCAGTGTGAGTCAGTGCCCTCTAAGTCAGACTACTACCTCCTTCAGCTGCAGCTATTTGCCTCGTCTATTTTTGCCTGTTTTATTAAGTGGCAGACCTGCAAGCTAATCCTACTTGACTTGGCCAAAATGTAGTTAAAATCTTTAAACTTGTGATCTGGGTCACCTAGACCCCTAAAAGCCCTCTTTGGCTTGACTTACGCAGATGAGTGCTGGACTGAATTCACTGGCACCTAATATGGCATTACATTTGCCTCCTAGAGATATAAAACTACATTTTTCAATTAAAAACTGGGACAACTTGAGTCAAATCAACAAAGAGATCACTGACAAAAAATTGGAACCCTGGCAAGTTAACAGTTACAGAATACGCTGAAGAAAATGTGAAGAGATTACAACACCTTAGTAAATGCCAGAGCACTGGCTTGACCAGGGTCACGTGACACTCAGTAACAGCGTTCATCTCCAGAACCAAATGGTTATTCAGTGCTGTCACTACCATCTTACTGATAATATTTCAGTTAGCCATCTGAATCTAAAAAAGCAGAATGGTGCTGCTAAAAATAAAACCCTGGACTTGGTTTGAATATTAAACATTCCACTTCCTAACCAATTCGGCAAATTTCTTATCTGTAAAATGGATGTGATTAGTACCTTGTGAAAGCATTTCAGATGATGTATGTGGGAGCACCAGAGCCTGGTGGCCTTTAGCAGCTGGTGCTTGCTGACTTGTGAACTCACAACCCAAGTGTTTTTCCTTAAACCAGAACTGACATTTCAAAACACTGGCTTACACCAACAGTTCTCCACATCTAAGAACCATGTGGGGAAACCTGCTGAATGCAGAAAAGTGGATCCACTCCTAGAGATTCTTACTCAGTGGGCATGTCATGTAGCCCATGAACCTGCATCTTAATAACTCAGGTGATTCTGATACCAGGGATACATTTTGTGACACGTGTCAACATGCAAAGAAAACAAACTAATGGAGGAAGCAAAGCAGCACATCAAGGGTCCTATTGTGACTAATGGGGCAGAAGTTCTGAAACATTCGCTTTCGGGAGACAGGTTAGCAGGCTCAGGCAAGGATTGTACCCTTTAAACCCAGTAAGATTCAGTTTGACTGGTCTTGCCTCACCTATGGCCCTTAATAAGGCGAACAAGAGGGGGAAGACTGGGTAAAACCATCTTGTTAAGGTAGAAACACTGGTGTAATGGTGTTCATTCTAGATGCTGGGCCCTGGATTAGCTCCTGGTGTTGGGGACAAAAGGAACAGCTGGTCATGGTTAACCAAGTGAGGTGACTGACATTGGACCAAAAGGGAGTGGGAGGGACCCTCTCTGATTTTATGGGCCTCCTGACTGATACTGGCCCCTCTAAGTCCTTTTTCCTGGGTTCAGTGACCCTTCTGTTAGTGCTTCTCTCACACAGGTGTTCCTTTTTTTTTTTTTTTTTTGGTACTGGGGATCGAACTCGGGTCCTTGCACTTGCAGGGCAGGTGGCGGAACTACTGAGCTAAATTCCCAGCCCAACGCACAGGTGTTCCTTAAGCTGCAGCCACCGGTACTGGCTCCCTTTCTCCTTTGCATAGCTTGAATAAACACTATTTCTGAGCTAATTTACTTCACAGCCCCTACAAGACTCCTTTCCTGCCCCTTTTTCTTTAGTTTCTTTCATCTGTGACCTAACATGGCAGCAGTTTTGTGTGTGTCTCTCTTACATTATGATTTTAAGTACTGATTTGATTTAGACAGTGTATTTAAGATCCAAGGTAAGTTCTATTAGACAGAAGGGGAATTTGTAGTTCTGTAAATACAGACTCTGGGATGTCTCTACTTTGTTATTTGTTTTTTAAAGTTTCTGCCAAAAAATAATGAAAACAAGCCAGGTACAGTGGGGTGTACCTGTATTCTCAGTTACTTGGGAAGCTGAAGTGAAAGGATCACTTGAACCCAGGCATTCAAGGCCAGCCTGGGAAACACAGCAAGACCTCAGTCTCAAGAAAAAGAAAAAAGTGAAACATGCCGGTGCTAATCTCGTGTGCATGTGGTGCTAGAGATCGAATGCAGGGCCATATACATGCAGGGCAAACACTGCCATCAAACTGCAATCCCAACCCTGTGTCACTCTTACTGAATTTCTCGGACAACAGAAAGAGTGTGGATTTGGTTTTTACCTGGTGATAGAGATCCTGCCTTCTCTGATCCTTTAATATTCTAGTTGCTCTAGTAGCCCAGGATCAGACGAACAACTTACCTTTAGGTATGATGGGAAGGGGAACCATCTGGTTCTCTGAGCTTCTCTGGGGGTGGGCTTCCTTCACTCTGATTCCTGACCCACCTCTGTCCTTCCTCACATGTCTAGGGAAACAATGGAATATCTGGCAAGGCAGCATGCCAACGAAGGCAGCATACAGGTGTGCCTCTCATTTTACAGGTGTAGTCCTTTAGGCAGCTCTGTTTCGACCCCTCACAGCTAATTACTGGGAGACCACCTTCCTATGGAGCAAGTGCAGTTTACCTGTGTGACCAAAGTTAAGTGTGATGTGCCCCTGAGGTCCAGCCAGCTCCTGTCTGGCTTGAAGGCAGGCCTTTACAGATGTTACAGGCTCACCCCTGCATTTCAGGAGCTGTCCGCCCAGCCACTTCAGGGGAAGGAGCTAGCTGTGGGCTGGGCAATTATGAATGCAACCCCCGTTCTTCATCAGACAGAACTGGAAAATAAAGTGCTTTATTGCTGAGGATACCAGAGAGCTTCAGGACAGCTGTCTAGAAGTCCCTTACCTTTTTGCAGGCTTTTGTGAACAGGGACAGGTGGGGCTTCTACATCTCAGCCCCCTAAAAGGCAAGGAAGTATGGTTTGGGTGATGGTGGGAGGCCAGGAAGAGGAACAGGATGTGCTCAGAGAGCTGCTTTTTCCACCCAATTCTGCACCAGTGTGCTCAGAGACACCACAGTGGTGTAAATCCAACAGAAACTGCCCAAATGCTGCAAATCAGCCCCTCCAATGGATTTCTGGTTTACAGTCACCACAGGTAAATGACACCTTCCTGAGCCCACCCCAAACCCCGCAAATCCCTACCACTGGGCGGAACACAAGGTGCTGAACAATGAAGGACCAGAATTGAGTGACCCACTCCCTGCCTGGGGTGTGCCTCAGCCTGTCTGTCCACTCAGGCCAGGCTAACATGTGTCCTCCAGAAGAGGGCAGCTCGGGGCTAAGACGCCTCTCCTGCAGTGATGCATGGCAGGGGTGGGATGAGAGGAGCCATCTACACCATCCTGTCAAGGAAGTGTGGTCACCCAGGTACAGGCCCAGCAAGGGGCCGCTGTAGGGCCAGATGAAATGGGTGGCTCAGCCAGGATGGGGGTCTGAGAGATTCACAGCGGCTCCTGGCAATCAGGATGGGTCTGGAATGCTCTGGCCACCCCTATGTGCAGAGCCAGGGCAGAAGAGCCCAGGGGGTGGTAGCTTTTCCGGGTAGTTAGGAGAGGAGGCCCTGAGACACAGGAGGGTACACACATTTCCACCACACCCCCAGACCCTGGGCTCTGTACACCCATCCACCTTCCCCACAGCACACCCAGGGGCTCTGACCTGCCCGGAGGTCACAGGCAGGGGACACGCAGTGCCAGACGACCTCCCACGGTTGTCTGGGCAAGGGTGAGGAGAAGGGCTGGGGAGTTCGGTCAACTTGGCAGCCTTCCTTAGTATTCCTTGACCTCCTGTAACTGGGCCAAGTACTCCTCCTCAGGGGGGTTGTCGGTGCAGGCCCGGCCATTGTTGGGCGGCCGCACGGCGTGATAGCGGCTCCAGTCCCCCTTGCACAGGATCCAGGGCAGCGTGTCCACTTTGAAGTGCAGCTCCGGGGAGAAGTCGGTGCTGACCAGGTCGGGCGCGCCTGCGCCCTTGCCGCGGGTCAGCAGCCGGCTGCCCTCGTCGTAGCAGCAGTGCTGGGCGGCCAGGGTGCTGCTCTCGCCCGACAGTAGCGAGCGCAGGCAGAAGCGTGCCGTGGGCTGGTACACGTCCAGGCGCTCTCGCGGGCCGCTGGCGTCCCTCCACCGGAAGCTGCGGCCCTGGTGCTCGTCCTGCAGGCTCACGGGCCTGGACGCGGCCTCCAGGGGGTAGGTGCAGGGGCAGCTGGGCAGGTCCCGCAGCACCTGGCTCAGGTACTTGGCTAGGAAGTCGCTCTTGCAGTTCAGCCACTTCTCACAGCTGTTCACATCTGCAGAGGGCAAGGAGGTCCGGGAGGGCAGCCGGTCAGAGTGCCAGCCTCCAGGTGGCATGGGGAAGCTCTGGGTAACAGGGAGAGGAGACAAAGGCATGGCTTCGGGCCCTAAGGACAGGACTGGAAGGACTCAAACCAGAGCTGGGGACACTTGAGGGCCAACCCCACACCTGCCAGGCACCTGAAGCAAGATGCTGTCACTGAAAATGGTCACTGAAAATGAGTGGTGTTCTGGGGGCCCTCTGCTGGGCAGGTGCTGGACAGCGGGAAAGACCCTGGGATTTACGGAAGGGGCTGGGGTAGGTGGGGTCAGAGGCAGCAGTTTTTAATCAACAATTAAGAAAGTGTTTTAAAATATATTATCCAGTAATCCACACTTGGTTTTTTTCTGTTCTATGTTTTCTAAGTTCTTGCTAAGTGGCCCAGGCTGGCTTCAAACTTCAATCCCTCTGCCTCTGCCTTTGAGTAGCTGGAATTAGAAGTGTGTGCCGCTGTCTCGGCCTCGGCCCTCCACCGTCCCTGGCTCCTGGGGGCTCCCTCTGTCTATGCTGCCCTCCTCCTCTCTCCCTGGGAGAACGCGGGCCCTGATTCTGGCCACAGAGTAAACTGCCCCTTCCTTTTTGTTCCCAGATCTTTGAGCCTGCTTCGCAGTGCTATCCTCCCGGTAGTCAGGCGTGCCCCCGCCTCCAGCTGCTGCCTGCCTGCCTTGGGGGGCGCCGTGAGACCAAGAGACACAGACTCCCAACTGCCTGGAAGGAGTGGTCCTGAAGTCTGGGACCTGGCCCATTTTTGAGAGCAGTGCGTTCCCCTCCCCAGAAACCTCCAAAAAGGAAGAAGTTGGAATGTCCCTTTCCTGTCCTGCTGCCAGGGAAGACAAACACCCCCGAGGGTTTCCAAGCTCTGTGGCTGCCATCATGACGGCCTTCTCTGGAGGAGCATGGCCTGGGAAACCAGTGGGCCTGGCTCAGAAATGCCAGATGGATGGAGGCCTGGCTCTTGCCGTCGCCGGCGGAACCCCACCCGCCTGAGAAGGGTTCTCCCCCCACCGGGCTCTCCCCTGCCCCACTGACCTGGGCCAAGCATGTCCATAGCACTGTGGGCCAGGGGCTGCCACCCTTCACTGGGGAAGCCCAAGGTGTCCTCGTCCTCAGCGCCTTTGGGAAGAGAGGAGGCCAAGCTGTGGCACCCCAGGGCACCTCGTGCTCCCAGTGGGGAAGCCCAGCCCTTACTGCGCTCTGGGTGCCCACAGTGGCTGGGATAGGTCTGGGACAGGACCACCATATTAGAGCTTCCTGCATCCCTTTCCTCAAGACCACCCCTCCTGCAAGGGCCCCACACCCAGGGGCTGAAAGCCAGAGTCTAAGTCATATCAACCACTCTGATGCAAGGCCTGGGGCTCATCTCACCAGGACAGGGGGCCAGGTTGCAGACACGGGACTCAGTGGCAGTGCAGGCGTAGCCACAGGGCCGAGTCCTCTGCTGGCTGCCGCTGCTGCAGCTCCCACTGCAAGGAGACCAGGCGCTCCACTCTTCCTGAGGCTCATAGTCTGGGTCAAGGCAGAAAGCCAGGTGTGAGTGCATACAGCCCACAGGAAACATTGGTGCAAATTAGTAAAAAGCGCCCCTTCCCCAGCTGGCTGCAGCCCATGTTGCTAGGGCTCTCAGCCTAGTATAAAACACATGGGCAGGATTTCTGCCCCTACCTACTCCTTCAGTTGGGTACCCCTGTGCAGTGAACAACCTGTGCAAATGTGTCAGTGGCTCTCCAGGAATGGCACAAACCCCAGCCACTCATTCTGGGCCAACAGAACCATGAATAAGAAAAGATATTTGGGCTGGAAGCACTTGACCTCTATCAGTGTGACCTCAGGCAAGACCCCCTACATCTCTGAGCTACAGTTCTTTCTTTGTTTTGCCCTGCTGGGGATGCTGGGGATGAAACCCAGGGGCACTCTATCACTGAGCTACATCCCCTACCCTTTTCACATTTTTTTTTCTGGTACCGGGGATCGAACTCAGGACCTTGGGCTTGCAAGGCAGGGGGCAGAACCACTGAGCTAAATCCCTGGCCCTCTTTTCACATTTTTTTTTCTTCCAGTACTCGGGATCAAACTCAGGACCTTGTGCTTGTCAGGCAGGCATTGGCACCGCTGAACTACATCCCCACTAAGGGCAGGGTCTCACTAAGTGGCTGGGGTTGGCTGAATGCTGGCATTTTATGTATACTAACTCATTTAGTACTCTTCCCAACCAACATATGTAGTGAAGCCTGTGCCATCCTCCATTTTTATAGAGGAAGGAACTGAGGCACAGACAGGTTAAGTAGCTTGCCCAAGGTCACTCAGCTGGTAAGCGGCAGAGCCAGGACTAAAATCCACATAGTTTGAAAATGAGATCAGCTGTGAGTGATAAGATTAATATTCCTCAATTTGCTGGAAACCAATAGATATAAATATATATAATATTAACAACTGTCTTTTGCTTAGGGGATCTTGTGAGGGTCAAATATTGTTGGGAAAACAAACAAAAACCCCAGGGTTTTTTGTTTTGTTTTGTTTTGGTGTTTTTGTACCAGTAATTGAACTCAGGACCTTTCGCTTGCCAGGCAGGTGCGGCGCCACTGAGCTACCTCTCCGGCAAAAAAAAGCCCCAGTTTTGCAAGCTTCTGGTGATGTCACTTTGGAGTTGATGATGGTGTCTAAGCTCCTGGCCTCCCCAGCTCCCCTGCGGGGAAACCCTCAGCCCTAAGGGCGCTGCCACTTCAGCTTAGGGCAGAGGGCAGTAGCCAGGGATACCAGGCTGGAGTGCTCACCGTAGCTATCTGGCTCCTTGAAGGCCCAGTCCCCCTGGCCCAGCCAGCCCTGGTCCCAGCCATGTGTGGCCCCACTGGACCACAGCTCCTCCTCCTTGTCCTCCTGGTCCTCAGGCTCCCCGTGCTCTGCAAGGTGCTGCTCCTCTCCCTCTTCCTCCTCTTCCCCTGGGGCTCCTCCCTTGAGGCCAGTGGCTCCTTCTTCACCCTCCAGGTAGCTCCAGAAGAGGGGCCAGAAGAGCTCTTTGGTGGTCAGCCACCTAGGAGCGCCCTGGGGCCAGCGATTGCTGGGCTCGGCCAGCAGGTCCATCTCCACCTCGGCCTGTGGGTCCTCCACTACCTCGATGGTCACCTGCAGGGAGACAGACACCAAAGGCAGGGGGTGCCTCAGAGCAGGACTCCAAGGAGAGCGCAGGAGCCAGAGCCCAGCTTTGCCTCCAGCCACGTGTCATCTGTCTGGACCTTGACCTCTCAGGGTGTGCGGGGCACATGGGAGACTCCTGACTCCCAGCCCCTCGTACAGATGTAACTAGTCTGGGGCGAGGGCAGACCTGGCAGTTTCAGCTTGGGCCACTGATGAGAGCCCCTAGTTTAAGGGAAGCTGGCTTTGAATTCTGGTTCTGCCACACACATTTCTTCCATTTCTTTAGGACAAGGCTGGAAAACGAGAGCAAAGATCAAATCTCCAAGCAGCCCTTGGGAGGAGCTCTCTACCCACATTAAGCAGGAGGAATAAATAAAATAAATCATTTAACTTTAAAAACATTAGTTTTGTCTACTGTCAAGTAATAGGACACTGACCAAACTTTGGTGAAAAAAAAAACATTAAGAAGTAAATGAATATTTTCCTGAAAACCATTTATATGCTTGCTTTTACATATATTTAATCCATCTGAATTTAATCTTGTATATAGAGCAAGTCATATTTAATCTTCCAGATAGGTAAACAATTGCTCCAGAGAAACATGTGGTAAGCTGGGGGTGGGGGCGCACACCTGTAAGCCCGGTCCTCGGAGGCTGAGGGAAGAGGATCACCCCAAGTTTGAGGCCAGCCTGGGCTCCATAGCGAATTCGAAGCCAGCCTGGACTACATAGTGAGACCTTGTCTCAAAAAATAAAAAGTGTTGCAAAGTCCCCCTTTCTTTATCCATCTGCAATGCCAGTTGTGTAATAAATGTATGTGTGGGTGTTAGAGGAAAAAACTTCTCCCTCTCACTATTCAACACACACAAATATCAAAAAAAGAAGAAAGTGAAAATCACCTATATTCCATTACTGACAGATAACCTAGTTTTTTGCATGTTTATAGGTGTGTGTGTATATATATGGGGGGGGGACTTTTTTTTAGATGCACTTTACAACAATTATTTTGGGAGTAGTGCTAGAGATGAAACTCAAAGCCTTCACACTGAGCTACACACACAGCCCTTTCCTTGTTTTATTTTGAAACAGGATCTTGCCCAGTCACTAAGTTACCCAAACTGGGCTTGAATTTGCCATCTTCCTGACTCAGCCTTCTAGGAGTGCTGGTAGGCAGGGACCACCGCGGCTGGCTTAAAACACTTTTAGAATGTTATGTTCTACACTTTTGTGGCTCTCTCTTCCTCTCCCTCCCTTTCTTATATTTGCAAACTGCACTGCTAGGTGAACAGGCAGAATCACCACCCTCAGAGCTTCAGGACAGGCCAGTGGGTGTGTAGCTGGAATTCTAACCCCCGCTCGGGCTTCCGCTCTGGGACCATGCTCCTGGTGGGTAGGAGTCCCCATGCTGCCAGCCCACCTCTTTCTGTACTGAACACCTTCTTCAGGGGCCTGCAGTCAGGGGATGCGACTGGGTGGGGACCAGACTTTCAGCCCTCCTCAGAGGCCTCTCTCCTGTATTTCCTGAGTGGAACGCTCGCAGGTGACAAGGTACACATTTCCCCCTCATTCAGTCCTCATACCAGCCCTGCCTGGTTGGTGCTGTTGTCCCTTACAAGGCTCAGAGAGCTGAGACTTCCTCAAGGCTGGCAGCTAGAAAGTGGAGGGGCAGGCGCTCCCCCCAACAGGAGCCTCACCCCCTATTCCGGGCCAGAAGGGACACAGCACAGGCTGAACCCCAGCCCTGCTCCTCTCCAGACGGCCTGTCTAAAGTCTCACCTGGATGTTAGGGTTTGGGGCGCTCAAGTCTGTGTTAGCCAATCCTGGCAGCTTCTGCAGCTCCAGCAGCAAAGGTGTGTCCTCCAGGGTCCTGGGAGGTGTGCCCTCACCCGGGGCTACGGCTGCTGGCTCGGGAAGAGTCTGGCACTTGTGCCTGCACAGCAAGGTCTGCAGGTGGGTTCTGGGGAGCAGCAGCGGCGCCTTCTCTTCCCCAGGGAGGGAGGTTGGGGTCTGGGGAGAGAGGGAAGGCCAAGGACAGGGATGAGGCTGGGCAGGAGGATTCAGGAGCCCCAGGGTCTGACTGTGTCACACATGTGCCCTGTGACTTAGCCCTGCCAGGAGGGTGTATGCTGAACGTGAATCTAAACGCTGCCTGCTTTAATGGTCCTGGCAGAGAAGTGAGGTGTAGCTGGGCAGACGTGGACTGTGTTCGCAAAGCACTGTATCTACAGATGCCCACATGAGACAGGAAAGAAGGATTAGCACAATTCAGCCTCCTTGTGCTACCGATGAAGAACCCAGACAGGAAAGAGCTGTTTAAGACAGTGGGTCTGATGTGCTGTTTGCATACTACCTGCTCGGAAATCCTCAGCCTGTCCTCTTTCCCCGCTGTGTATCCCCACAAGTCAGAGCAGGAAGTCCCCGGAATATGGCTGGTCGTGCCTCTCAGCATGTCACCTGCCCTGACTGAGCCATCCACACAGGGGCTGTACTGTTTGGCATCTCCCCACTCCAGGCTGCTTGTACGGCTGTTGGTGAACGCATCCCCACCGCCAGCCACCGGCCACAGCGCCCACACCAGGACTGTCCTTGTTTCAGTTTAGAGAGTAAGAGAAAGGCCTGGCCCAGGGTTTGCCAGATCCCTATGACAGGGCAGAAAGAGCCCCTTCCAGGCCTGCCTTCAGGGATCTTGAGGGCCCTGAGCAGGAGGATCTCAGCTGTGACCCACTCCTGTCCCCATCCCTGGGGCAGCACGGTACAGCTGAAAACACTCTCACATAAGCTTGGGTCCAAATGCCAGCTCAACCTCCTATTAACTCCAATGTTATAATTTCCTCACATCCAAAATAAAGATGATAAGCCAGGTGTGGTGGAGCACACCTGTGATCCCAGCACTTGGGAGGCTGAGGCAGGAGGATTGCCATGAGTTCGAGGCCAGCCTGGACTACACAGCGAGACCCTGCCTCAAAAAAACCCCCAAACAAACAAACAAACAAACAAAAAACAAATTAAAATAAAGATGACCTGGCAATTTAGCTCAGTGGTTCCACCGCCTGCCTCACAAGCGCAAGGTCCTGAGTTTGATCCCTGGTACCAAAATAAATAAATAATAAATAAATAAAGATGATAATTGCTACTGGGAAGGAATGTCAGATTTTATTTCTCAAGCACTCCCATAGCATTTACTAGGTGCCAGGCACTATTCTAAATACGTAATCACTCATTGCATCCTCCCATCAATCCTTACTGGTAGGTGCTAGGAGCCATCCCCTTTTTATGGACGATCAGCAGTTAAGGCACAGAGAGGACAAGTAATTCAGCTGAAGTCACACAGACATTTAGTGGTAAAGCCAGGATCTGAACTGGGCGGCCTTGGCCCCAGGTCACACTCCACCTTTGCACTGTAAGGCTGCAGGTGAGAGGACCGGGAGTCCCTTTTACAGACCAGTTGCTCAGTCAGTCTACTTTCTCATTCTCACGGACTTTCTTCTGGCAAAGTTGGAAAAAGAGATTCAGACTTTTGTCTCCCCTCCCTTCGCCTCCTTTTCTATGGTCCCGGGTGCTTGTCCCCGAGGCTCCTGCGGCGTCAGGGACAGGCAGCCTTTCAGGCTGGTCTGGCTGCCCTCGCCAGGCAGTGCAGTGGTGACTTGATGGCTCTCACCAGGGGATATTAGAAGTGCTCGGGGAGATCTGTGGGTGTCACAACAGGAGGGGGTTCTACTAGCACCTAGAAGGCGGAGGCTGGGGACGCTGCCCCAGGACAGTCCAACCCAACGAGAATTCTCCAGCCCAGAAGCAATCAGTGCTGAGTTAGAGCCCTGCTGCCTGAGTCTCTGCGACCTGTGGGGCCTTGGCAGGAGACATAAACTCTGCGAGCTTCCTCACCTGCAAAGTGGGAACAACGACAGGGAAGAGCAGAGCCGGGGCCCTCTGTCCACAATGCTCGTTTCCAGTCCTCCTCTGCCTCTCTGCAGACTGCTGCCTGGTTGGAGCATAAGATAAGCAAAGGCCCGAGGAGTCCTGGCCCAGGCCCCAGCTGCCTACCCCAGGAGCCTCCTGCTCCGGGCAGCAGCCACCAGGGAACTCCTGGGAGTGCAAAGGAACAGGGGACATCCTGTCTCAGGTGTTCCCTCGGTAGGTGATCCCAGGAGATGCCAGCAGGTGGTGGGAGGTGACTAATAAAGAGTGACCATCAGGCCTGGGGCCGTGGTGGGCAGCCGAGGCTCACTCCCACTGGGTGCCTCTGGGAGCTGGTGTGGTCCTCTGTCTGTTATCCCGGGTATTTAGGCACCAACCCTGCCAGTCACTGGAGGAAGACTGCTGGGTGGGAGAGGACCTGCTCTCCAGCACTTCCGGGGGGCGAGGAGTAGCAGGCCACAGCCAGTGAAAGCCCTCAGGCAACTGGACCCTGGGTACCGGACGCAGGCCTGGGGGATGTGGGCAGATATGGAGCCATGACCCCAACTGGTCCTCTGAGCCTGGGCTCGGCTCCACCTGCCCTGACACTCGTGCCTGCTAGAACAGGTGTCTGTGCAGGCAGGAATTTTGGTCTGCTTTGTTGACTGTCCCCAGTGTCTAGCACGGTGCCTGGCACATTGTAGAAGCACAATCAATCAGTGCTGGGTAAACGGAGGGCAAAGGACTCAGGTAAGGTCACAATAACAGAGCTGGGATTCAAACTCAGGTCCGCACACTCTCGTCACCCATGCACTGAGCCGCACACCCTCTCAGGGTGGTGACGCTCACACGCGAGCGCCCTCTGCATTCACAAGACACCACCACTTTCATCATCGTGTCCGGCACTGAATGTGGCCGTGATGAGTACAGATTGGAGTCCACATGCCCTGGGTTCAAATCCCAACTCATCTGCTCGGGCCGGTTACTGCCTGCTTTCCCTCTGGGAACCAGGAGTCAGCAGGGGCAACTTTGAGGGCTTGCTCATGGAAATGCACGCTACCTAGAGGTGGTGACAGACGGTTCTCAGAGTGGAAAGAGGAGACAGGAGCAGCCCCTGGCCAGCACTGGGTTAGCCCTGCACGTCTTATTCCGGTGTGATTTGAATCTCTGTGCCGATGGATCCTCATGCACATGCTCTGGCCTGGTTAGGAGCACCTGTCCGACCCCATGAGGCCACCTCCTCCCTCGTGCTGCGTTCCAGGTGCAAATCCCCAACTCCATTCTTTTAGGAGGCGGTGTCACCCCCCAGCAGTTCCCAATGTCTCTGCCTCTCTGTCAGACACACAGACGCCTGCACACTCGCACGCACACACCCTGCCCTCCCAGGCTTGGCCAGGCAGCCCTGACCCGCTGTTTCCAGGAGCATAACAGTTCCGATTACTGTGTGATGGGGCCTTGCTACCCTGAGTCAGCCCTCACGGCTCCTGGGTTTCCCTCCTCTGGGCCTCAGGGGTCAGGAACTCACTCGGGGGAGCAGCATCCAGCTGCCAGGTGCAGGCCACCCTTCTCCTCCCTTCCCTCCCCGCAGCCCCAGTGACTAAGGGCCAGGGCCGTCCCAAGGAATCAGGCTGCACGATCAGTCGCTCAGTGCTCAGTCGTTCCGGCCTCCCAGGAGGGGACAGAGGCCGGCCTTCCCAGCAAGTGGCCCTTGGGCCAGGCCCGGGACAAGGGTGGAGGTGGAGGGGGGCTGGATTTCCCCATCAGCTCCTGCCGGTTGGTACATCCTGTTCTAACCCTGTATTCTGGCACCCAGTGGAGACCTCAAGGTGCCTCACCATAACAAGAACAGCGGCGGCAGAGCACACTGTTCCCAGCACAGGGCCGGTTCCATAGTGTGCAGCCTGTGTGCCTGCACAAGGCCTCACTTTGGGATTAATGTCCTGCTGTTCCCATCTTGAAATACCAGCTATGTATCGAGTCCTGCTGAGCACCCTGTATGAACAGACTCATTGAATCCTCTCTACCCTCCTTTGCCCAAGTACTAGCATCATCCTTATTTCATCAATGAGGCACCAAGGATCAGAGAGGTGAAGTAACTTGCCTGGGGTCACACAGCTCGGGGCTGGAGAGTAGGATTTGGGGCCCTGGTCTGTCCAGAGAGTCTGTTTTTCACTCTCTTGCTTTGCTAACTCCAGGCAGGGGCTGCAAGCTCCCATTTGCTGCCTGCTACCCTGTGGTGCTCAATGAACAGAACGCTGCCCTACTTTTCACATCCATCTTTCCCTTTGATCCTGCAACGACTGTGGGAGGGTGAAGGAGAGGAAGCAACAGCCTGGGAGGCTGAGACCCAGAGAGGTGGGGACCTGCAGGGCCACTGAGCAGCCAGGTATCTGGGCCTCCGTTCCTGTCTTTTCCTTTCTTCCCCCCTCGTCCAGCTCTCTTGTGTTCCCCAGCCTTGAGACAGAAGATAGTCTAGAGGGAGAGGAGAGGTCAAGCTGAACCGCGGGAGGATGAGGCTCCCCAGCAAGGCCACAGCTCACACAGGCTTGGGTGGAGCTCCCTGATGTGGGCTGGGAGAGAAAGACCCCAGCCAAGCAAACCAGCCTTCGGGAAACAGGGCTTCTTGGTGCAGCACACCCAGCTGGGCGACCTTCCCACTCAGCCGCTCCCACAATCCAGTCCCTGCTTCCCCCTGCCGACTGCACTCCCTTCCACGGGCCTGACACCCTGCGGGCTGTGGGGTCTCTCAGGCTTCTTCCTCTGAATTCAGTTCTTCTCTCGGTCCATCCTCTCAAACAGGCGACAAAATCCCTGCCCCGACCCTGCTGACATGGGGACCTTCAGTGAGGCTCGGTTCTTGCAGCCTGGAAGAGCTGTCCTCGCTCAGTTCTCTTGCCTGCCCTTAACCTCTGCCATCCTTGGGACACCAAGTCCCTAGCTCTTCCTTGCCTTTTCTCTTACCCCAATTTGCCTACCTAGGTGGGGAAGCCAGGCTTACCAAGCAGTGTTTGGATCCTGGCTTACTACACATTAACCTTGGGTCTGTTATTGGGCCTGCTGCCAGTTTCCTCATCCCTCAAAGGAGAATAACAAAGCAAGACATGCAAAATGCTCTGTATTTTGTTCTAACCTCAACTGGAACCTAAGGCAGAGACCTGTCACTCTGCCTGTCCAGCACCCAGCCAACTGCCTGGCCCCTGCCCTGGTAATGACAATGCCTCCCATGTGCCCAGTGCTGTCCCACCCTGTGCTCTGACCTGAGTGGGTGCTCATTTTCATTTTACCATGGGAATAAACTGAGGCTCAGCAACATGCCTACCCGGAGTCAGGTGGCACAATTTGTCCACGAGGCTAATAATTCTTTTCCAGACTTCAGATGACCAGCCTGGTGTATACAATGTAAAGATGTGCCATAAGGCTGGGCATGGTGGTGCACGTCTGTAATCCTAGCACTCAGGAGGCTGAGGCAGGAGGACTGCCGTGAGTTCGAGGCCAGCCTAGGGTACACAGTGAGCTCAAGGACAGCCTGAACTACACAGCGAGACCCTGTCTCCAAAAAAAAAAAAAGTACCATAAGGTCCCCTTTGTAGCTCTTTATAACATAGACCTGGCTCCCATCCGGGCTTAACTTCCCAATTTTAACTTTAAAAGTTTTTCTCCTGGAAAATGGGGAGAATGCCCATCTTGTGTTAGCTAAGTGGCATGGGCTCTGGGAGGCCGAGAGAATGTGCACTTCCTCTAGGTCATCCTCCACTGTTAGGCTGAGGGGCTATGGCACAAGGGGGTTGGTTCTTCAGGTCTCATAAAGGTTTCTGGGGTGGTCACTGATTCCTGAGCCCCTAGAACAGCAGTCTGCATTCTCTCAGGATGCTTGAGTGAACACCTTTGCTATGAAACCACACAGACTTGTAGAACACTAGTAAGAGCTGGAAGGGCTCTTTAAAAGTGAGAAAAGCAGGCTGAGGCAGGAGGATTGCTTGCATTTGAGGCCAGTCTAGGTTGCATAGTGAGTTCGAGGCCAATCTGAGCTACATAGTAAGACTCTGTCTCAAAACAAACAAACAAACAAACAAAGTGAGGAAAGCATCCAAGATGAATCAGTCACATGTGCATTAATGACCTGCTGGGACTAGAACCTCGGGCACTGGGCTCTGTAGTTTTGGGGTTTTTTGTCTGTTTGTGACAGGGTTTTGCTATGTAGTTCAGCCTGGCCTTGAACTTGCTATTTAGCCTAGGCTGGCCTCAAACTCACAGCGATCTCCCTGCCTCAATTTGACCTCCTGAGTGCTGGGATTACAGGCGTGCTCCACCACACTTGGCTCCCTGTCTGTTTTTCCCTCGTGGAATTAATTTGCTTTTAGGTGTTTCTGAGGGCTCTGCAGGCCCTATCTGGGGCTGAGGATGTGTCTTTGGCTCTGAAAGAGCTCATCCTCTAGGTTGATTTCCTTGAAGGAAGATTTGGTAAACATACAAAAATTAATTACAATACAAATTGATAAGAGCTAAAATGTAAAGTATTTATTATACCAAGTGAGCAGAAACAATGCCAATTGAACTAACTACGCCACTGGCCACTGTTATCTCCACCTGGAGGGTGGAGCTCATCAGAGGCCTCTGAATTTCTCCGAAGCAGTGGTTCCCAGCCATGGGGAGAGGAGGTGTGTGTCCCTCAGGAAACATGTGGCCACATCTGGCCTGTGGTCAAGGCTAGGGATGCTGTCAAACACCCTGCAACTCATAGGACAGCAGCCTCGACAAAGAATTAGAGGACACAGGCAGTAGCACCAAGGTGGGGAAATCCTGGCCTACAAGGTGCATTCTCCACAGGGGTAAAATGGGATGTGGGGGTGGGGGATATGTTATCAGATATGACAACAGTTTGTGACATTCCAAAAGGCCATCACACATAAAGTTTTACAGGGGATGGAGGACACAGGAAAAACAAATCAAAAAGTCTCCTCAACAGGGCAGAAACACTGGTCCACTGCCCAGCTGACTGGAGGGTTTCAGGAGCCTGGAGCTACAAGCAAGGCCGGAGCTCTGGCTCCTGGCATTCACCATCTCAGGTGTCCTGCAGGCTGTCCAGGCTCCGCAGTGTCCCTGTCTCGAGTATGGAAAGAACGAGTCTAGTCTCCTCTCAGAACAGCTCAGGGCAAAGCAGAACCCAGGACGGAGACCACCCAGCAGACAGGCCCCTTCTTAAACATAAGTGTCCAGGGGATGAATGTCCACCCCAATCCAGGTGGCATCAGGCTGGACAGTTACCCTCACAGGGGCAGGAAACAGAACTGGACAAAACATAGTTTCTCGCCATGGCCAGTGCCACCTTCCCAGCTCATTCCTGGGCCTTACAGCTCCAAAGCCAACCCACAGGCCACTGGGAAAGTATCCCACTGAGTCTTAGCAAGCACACAAGCATGTAGATGGCCCTGCTGACGACCCGCACCCAGCAAGGTGGAGAAGCCCACTTACTACCTCGGCTTACCTCAGTTCACACTCCAAGGGGCTCAAATCCGCTGCAGAGCGGAATTAAGAGGATGCACGCAGGGGTGGGTAGGTCACCTGACCCTTCGAACCTCAGCAGACCCAATCCCCCTCCTCCAAGCAGAGGTCTGAGTTCCTCTCAGAGCACCAGGTGCCCGGGGCAGGGCGGACCAAGAGGAAACCTGGCCACTGCGGGTGTCGGCCCACCGCACTCGTCGCTTGAAAGAACTTTGTGCCCAGGCTGGCCTGGGGGGCACGGTGCACCTGGCTGTCGGACGCCTCTGCCGCCCTCCCCCGGTGGTGGCTGTCAGACCCCCCGCCCCCTCCTCGCGCAGCCGGAGCCGGAGGACCCCGCAGGCCCCGCTCACCTCCGTCAGCCTCGCCTGGCTTCTGGGCCAGGGTCCCGGGCCCCGCTTCCTCAGGGGGAGCCCCGGGCCCGCGGCCAGCAGCGCAGCCATCAGCACAGCGCGGAGCAGGAGGGCGGCTCGGCCCGGGAAGGCATGCATCGTGTCGCTCCGGCCGCAGCCCGCGGCGCCTAGGGCCGGCCTGGGCGCGCTCGCCTCGCCCCCCTGCAGGGCTGGAGAGCCGCGCGCCCGGGGGACCTGGCGAGGGGCACGCGCCTCGCGCGTTCTCTCCGCGGCCCGCGCGTTCCCGCCCTTCCCGGAGGGGCCCCTCAGCTTCCCGGGCGCGTCCTGGCCTCGGGTCGGCTCCTTTGATCTGGCCGCCTCGCCGCCCTTAGTCCCAGGCGCTGTTGCCGTCGCGGCCCCAAGCGAATTCCTGTCCCGGGGAAGTTGCCTCCCGCCGCTGTCCAGCTCCGCGCGCTCGGCGACCCCTGCTGGGCGGGGAGGGTCCGGCGCCACTCCCGTTCCCCGACGGCGCCCAGACCGGGGAGGAACTGGCCTGGCCTCGCGCGGGGCAAGTAGCAGGGGACTTCGGATCCTGGGGTGTGCGTGTGTGCACCGAGGTAGGTTTGCTCTGGAAGGAAGCCTGGGGAAGACTCCCGCAGGGCTCGTCCAGTGCTGCTGCTGGAGGCGGGGACCCACACCTGCTGTTCCTGGATCCCTGCACTTTAAAAACCAGGAATAAATTGAGACTCAGGTGTGAGGCTAAAACCCCAGAAGGACAGTGGAGAGACAGCCGTGAGGGGAGTGGTCATTTGACCCCGCCCTGCAGCCTGGTGTCACCGAGTTGCAGGCCCTTGGGACTCCCTGTAGGGATGCTCCTGGCAGGCCACGCGGGGCAGCATAACAATGGCCTGCCTTCCTCTTGAGTAAAACCTGAGCTGTGGCCAAGAGCAAGAATGAAGGGCAGTGCTAATCCCAGCGGCCAGGATGGGGCAGTCAGGGAGTTGCCTACCAAGGGGCCGGATGAGGGAGCTGGAGGGGGACTCAGGGTTCATGTTCCCTGGACCGTGGAGGAGAGGGTGGCCAGGAGCCCAACCATGGGGGTTGAACTGCTGGGATCTGGGGGAGCCAGAGTGAAGGTTTGAGGGGACCTTCCGTTTTCTGCAGGTACTCCTGTCCTCAAAAGCACAACAGAGGAGCTGGCGTTGGGCACCGTGGCACACACCTTTCTCAGCACTTGGGCTGAGGCAGGTGGATTGCTGTGAGTTTGAGGCCAGCCTGAACTACAGAGCAAGACCCTGTTGCAAAAAATTAAAAAATAAAAACCTGTGCACAACCTAGGACGCAGCCGGCAGTGCTCTGAATGGTGCATGGGAAGGTGAAAATCTGCATCTGAGGTTGGCCAGTAGGGTTTGAATCCTACTTCTGCCAGTTATTAAGTGGGTGACATTATTGGACAAATGATTTCGTCCAATATGGGGAGGAGGACCGTTACCCACCTCACAAGCGTGAGGAGGAAATGAGAACCCATGTAGAGACCTCACATGAGCACAAACAATGTGAAGTTGCCATGATTTGATCAAAAGGGCTGAACGCTGGCAGTTTCGTGTGGCTCCACTTTCAAGAGGTGCCCAGTACGTCGTGGCAAGCACGGAGATGTGAGCCCACAGAAACCCAGCTTTTTTTTTTTTTTGTACTAGGGATCGAACTCGGGTCCTTGCGCTAGTGAGGCAGGCAGCAGAACCACTGAGCTAGATCCCTGGGCCCACAGAAACCCAGCTTTTGAACAGCACTTGCTGTACTGTATGACATTTATGAGACTCAGTGCAAACCTGCCTTACTCCTTTTCACGGTTTCTCTTTTCGCTTTTGGTTAGAATACTCTCATATCTAGCCTAATAGTTTGTCTTTTCACCACACTTTGACGCCTTCCACCAGATTAAACTCAGAATTTGAAGCTAATGAGTTCATTTGTTCCTGAGCACCCATCTCCGTGTCAGTCACAAGGACTCTCCTCAGCCCCGGGTTCCTTGCCTGGCGGCAGGAAGAGCAGTGGGTCCTGCTGCCTCCACGCTTGTTCCCGCTGCACCCCCAACCCCATGGAACTAGTTATTTTTTAATCAGCTTCATAGATAATTTACCTATGACAAAGTACTCATTTTAAGTGTACAGTTCAGTGAGGTTTTTTTTTTTTTTTGGTACCGAGGATCGAACTCGGATCCTCGTGCTTGCAAGGCAGGAGGCGAAACCACTGAGCTAAATCCCTGGCCCAGTTTAGTGAGTTTTAACAAATGTAAACACCCCATGTGACCACCACCACTGTCACGATACAGATCCTTTCCAACACTAATTTCCTCCGGTGTAAGAGAAGAACAAACAATGTGCATTGTGAAAAACTGTGCATTGTCTACATGCAGTATATCTTCCTGGGTTATCTGCTTCTGGTCTTTCATTGTCTTCGAGCTGTTCTGTAGGTTGTAGGTAACTGATAGCAAAGGAAATAATTCTTATAAAGAAATGCACATTCTGAGCTGGGCATGGTTGTGCCTACCTGTGATCCAGTACTCTGGAAGGCTGAGGCAGAAGGATTGCAATTTCAATCCCGGTCTGGGCAATTCAGTGACTTAGTGAGACTCTGTCTCAAAATAAAAACAGAAAAAAGGCTGGCAAAGAGTTAAAGATATCACATAACAGTGACAGATGCATACCCTTTTATAGCAGCTCAATTAATAATAGCTAAACCTTGGAAGTGGTCTATATGTCCATCAACAGATGATCGGATAAAAAATGTGATATTTATACACAGCGGAATACTATTCTACCATAAAGAAGGATAAACTTGAGTCATTTGTATGAATATGGATGCACCTTAGGATCATAATGTTAAGTGAAATAAATCAGGGACACAAGCTTACTATTGCATGGTTTCTCTTATATGAGAAACCTAAAGCATAAATAAAGAGCAAACTAAGATAGATAAGAGGAAAGAGTAAGATGGATCTGCTTCAAATCATCAGGGGACCAAGAGGTAGAGGGAGGGGAGGACAGAGGGAGGAAAGGAAGGGGGGATGAAAAGAATTGGGATGTGTTATGTATATGTACCAGCTCCACACAAGGTATGTAAACATTATGTACTGCACATGTGCACTAATAAAAAATAAAAACTGAAAAAAAGGAGGGGGCTGGGGATGTAGCTCAGCGCAAGAGCTCTGGGTTGAATCTCCAGTAAGAGGGAGGGAGTGAAGTCAGGTACATGCTGTCCCGTTCTGTAGAAACGTAACTGACTTCCTTCTCCCAGGGTGGAAGAAACTAGTTTTGCCTTCATGTGCATTCATTTTAATATTGCTCATACATAAATTCATTTTTCTAGGATCTCCTTTGAATTTGTTCTAAACTCACATTTCATTAATGTATTAAATAGAATCTTTAGCAAGTGTTTATTTTTATGTATTTTTAAATTTTTTTATTGTTTGGTTGAGTCAGGGTCTCACTCTATTAATTCAGGCTGGCCTCAAACTCATGGTGATCCTCCTGCTTCAGCCTCCTGAGTGCTGGTATTACAGGCATGCACCACCATGCCCTTGCCAGTGTGTATTTTTATATCCTTAAAAGAGTAATGATTTTCTGCTTTCTGGAAAATTATTTTTTTCCCTTAAATTCTTTTATTGGTACATTTTAGGTATACAATATGTTTACATTTATCACTGGGTACTTGTACCTGTACATGATGTATCTTGGTTCTTATTTTTTCCCCATTCCCAGTCCTCCCTTTAACCCCTCCACCCTTCCCTATTTACAAAGGCTTTGTTTCCATTTTTTCCTTTCCTCATAATTTTTCCTTTCCCTTCTTTCCTTTCCCCTTCCCCTC